TAGTTTAGTTAGTTAGTTAGTTAGTAGTTAGTTAGTGTTAGTTAGTGTTAGTTAGTTAGTTAGTAGTTAGTAGTAGTGTAGTGTGTAGTGTGTAGTGTGTGTGTGTGTGTGTGTGTGTGTGTGTGTGTGTGTGTGTGTGTGTGTGTGTTGTTTTGTTGTGTTTGTGTGTATGTACGTGTATATATTATATATATATATATATATGTGTGTGTGTGTATGTATATGTATACATGTATGTATGTGTAAATTAATACCCTAAATATGTATGTATGTGTAAATAAATACGTATATGTTTGTTAAAAAAAAATACCACTACAGAGAGAATAGAATCTGTGTCCAAAAAAATACATTATCTTAGATAAATAGTCGCACATCTTTGCCAGTGCGCTTTTGATGTTCTACCATTTTCAAAAATATAAATATAAAGTATTCTGTGTGATTGGGTCACAGGCGAGAGCGGCAGACCTAGTGGTCGCAGGCGAGAATCGCAGTCATAGTGGTCGCAAGTCCCGGTGGCAGTCATAGTGGTCGCAAGACCCGGTGGCAGTCTTAGTGGTCGCAGTCTTAACAAATACACAAAATTACATAAAACACATTTAACGTGGAGTACCGAACTGCACGTTTTCAGTGAACAGTCGCAGTTTTCTATTATTCGGCAATTTACACTCTATAATTCACTCAATATTAGGCTTGCCCGATTGCGCCTACATAGCACTACGCGATTGCGCACCATACTAACAACCTATTTATTTACGTCTCCCTTTTGTTGCATAGAGTTGATGTCCTCCCTTTGACAGTCAACTATTGATACTCTTACCTCGATATTTATTTTTTAAATTTCCTTAAGCCTGGAAGATTGGTGTATTTGACAAACCTTTATTTCACTATTTAGTAACAAATCATGAATGACTATACACCATAATCACGATCGGATTGTGCTTCATTCTCAAATAGTCTTATATGGTACCATAAATATGACCTGAGTAATCTCTGCCATTCCAAATCTTCCCTAAAATGGTTTGCCTGGTTTCCTTGGCTCCATTTATTTTACTTTTTTGATGAACTCACTCACTGTCGTCGATTTAATGGGTTTATCACGTATAATTACGGCACCCAAATCATTATCTCTCAAAATTATTGTAAAGAGCGATATTGCCTTCTTTTTGTGTGCTGAGCTAGAGAAGCAGGGTTTGGGCCAAATACTGCCATTTCCACTATCTACTTTGAAGGAATCTTCAGTTTATTCTGATGCAAATAAAACAACACGTGTGTCTGATTTCCAAAGACAAACATCCAGTGAACCATTTCATTGCTGCAAACCGACATCAGTTGAATCGCTGAAATATTAAAATTGGTTACTAAGTCGCTCTATGGCAGTGACTTTGCAGAAAGCGCATCGAGAACATTTCATCACATGCGGGTAAGTGCAAGCAAGGTTGCTCAAGTTTCTGGATCCCACACCCAACGCGAAAATATCATGATACTACAGAAGAATACAAGCTCTATAAATGCCGATATCACAGAACATAGAACCAAGTTACATTGTAATAAAAAAGCACAGACACAACAAAGGGTGTACACAAAGACCACAAAGAACAAAATGATAAAGATTGGAAACGTAAACAAACTAATATAGACCAGGAATCAAAACAGATTGTATCTTTAAACACCCCAAATCTCGAGTCTTCAAGGTGTATAAATCAACCCACTTTTGGATTGTATTCTAAATGAACTTGTTCGCGAACCCCGTTTCGCTCTAAAATGAGTATCAGGTATGTTTTATCTCGCCCTCGCCTGTGGTTTTAACTCAATAGTTTCTCGTCGTTATGGCGCGTATTGTTAAAGACAGTCCGGGGAACAAAATATTATCTATAATATTATTGATTTCAATTTCTTTGTTTGTTTTGCTAGTGTTATTGATATTGGCAATTTGATGTATCAGCTTTATTTCATTAATTTCAATTTTTCGTGTTAGTATGATTATGATGTGCACCCACCACAACAACCGTCATCGCAACAGATAATATAGATACAGTTAGTATTACACAGATAGCGGGTGATATACAGACAGGTCACGTAGCTACTACAGCGTATCAGTTTTGGTTAATAGCCCAAACTTGCACCACAATGCCCAATTTTACCCTCGGTCACACTACAAGTAAAGCTATGAAAATGCGCGAAAGCATCGAAACAGAGGTCGATAATCATTTGAAATGCTGGAATTGTCACGGTGCCAACAGTACACGAATGGTATAGTTGACGAAGTCTCTGTAAATACAGAATCAAAACTAGACTATTCAACTAAAGCACCAACACTAAACTTTAATACCCATAGCTGCTCAAGGTCAAAACACAAGTAGCGCAGAGTGCACACTGTATGTATACATGAACAGACGTCAATCTTGTATCCCTACGACAATACAAAGTGCAACAGGCGATCTGTACTTTTTAGGTTTCTGAGGGGTTAGTGATTTTAATGTTAAAGCAAACCCCCCTCGTGAATCCTAAACCCCCTCTATACTGTAGATCAATGATAAGCGGCCATCAAGATGGGAACAACAACGCAAAACAAGGCATACATTGCTAAGTATCTATGATCTATCAACTACAAACATATAGTTGTACTGTAGGTGTTGTTCAATTCGGTGCTCTATAAATATACTAAACTTGTGAATGGGACATGGTGTCCAGTATTTCCAGTATTTCCAGAAAGTCAAGTGTTCATGCTATTAAATTGTTCATAATACGGTCACGCCAGCACCCACATGCAACACAGACTATGCATAAACATCATGCTATTAAAGAAAACCCAAGAACACATCAGTCATTTTATGAGAGGTTGTCACTAGTCATTCCGATATATCATGATACTAACGGTCTCCTTATGGACGCAGAAAATGAGTGCACTACATACGTTTAACAAAGAACCTGGGTCATTGCGCGCCAAAGGTGGTACGCATCTACAAATAAATAGTAAATACAGACCACTTGCGATGCCATACTGAGTTTATATCAGTGTATCTACGTGGCCACTAGAAATGAAAACATTCAAACAAACGAACAAACTAAATATTAACGATAAAAGATAGAGGAACGAACAAAGTAGCATACAAACCAACGGACGAATAACAAAGGAACAACAAATGAACATATAGACGAACAAATACTGCAACCTAAGTATTTTGTTGCAAGGAAGACCCTGTATTGGGTTTATTTAATATGAATATTTTTATTAAAGACTATAATTTCAACTTAGCATATCCGATAAGTTTATGCTTATTATAAAAAGCACAAAATTAAATGTTTAGTTATTTGATCAATTCAATAAATGTACAACGCTTTCCCTTGTACGAGGGGAGTACGTTGAGATACAGTAAAGGTAGGACAAGCGACAGACATGTATTTCAGAATTTTTGTTTTTGTATTGAGCAAAACACGAGGTTGTAGGAAAAATGAATCAACCGTGACAGTAACGAACGACACAGGCAGAGGCTTTATTAATAGTTATAATAAAGATGGTATGCCAGCACACCTAGCGGATAGCAATATTAAATCCGAGACAGAGCCGAATGAAGGTACGACATCAAACCAATCGCAACAGAGACAACTAGAGCCACACAATCGACACCTTCAAGTGCGTCTTCGACGTCGACTAGTGCAGTTGACCGATGCAAGGCACCCACCAGGTTAACAGGCAGGTTTTGGTGGACGATATACAAACACAAACGGGTGTGGAAGAAGATCCAACTACAAGACCTAAAAGCGAAAAAAGCACACATGTATATTCATTGTCAGAAGACGCCCTAGGTTCGCGCACATACGAACGCACCCTCCAATATACTTATAAAAATTACTGATCATCAAAATAAGGCAGGGACAAGCGTTTAAATTTCCCAAATCGACATCGAAAGCAGCACACACCCTTCAATATCAGTCGGTTGTACTAGATTTTAAACTTGCTCGTATGTGCGCAAAACTTACTAAAATCGACCCAGAGTGAATGCGATACTATCGTACAGAATGCTAGAATCTAAACATATTACACAGTTGCAGAAAACTCTGAAGAAGAAAAAACCCCCCATTGCGTGCAGGTGTTACATCACGTACATTGAACTGCCAAAAAAAACCCCTCAATCTGAACACGTGTTTATATTGTGTGTAAAACAGCTGCTCGAGTACGTTG